GAGCCTTCCAGTAAAAGCCTGTTTCTCACATCCGGTGCATACGCCTTCTCAATCAGCTGATCCCGCAGCATCTCGTCCTCCATGGTTCCATAAGCACATGGGATAGCCAACTCACGTAAAGCAGCCACGTATTGAGGCACAGTCTGATCCGCCCTCTGCGTTCTCTGTCGGAATTGGTGTCTCGCCACGACAACGTTCACCTTTGGTGTAAACTGTAGTTCCAACGCCGTCATAGCGTCGTTATATGAAGTGCCGGCATTAGGCAAGGTGTAAAATAAACGTTGTCCTTCAAAGCCAAGTGCATGAATTAGCAGAGCACGACGTCTAGCATCGGACCAGGAATTGCCAGTAGCATGAATAGCCGTTAAGTAGTTCTCAAACATTTTCCGCCACATGGAAAACAGGACCGTAGGTTCTCCACTGCAGGGTAGGAACGGCGCAGGCATGGGTACAGACGTCATCGTCGCCAATTGTTATGTGTAGTATCCAGGACGAGGTAGGCAAAGAACTTTAAACAGCTTTATTTAAGAACTCGTTCAGCAAACAGTAACATCAGATCTTCTCTTCTTCTATATCACTTCTTCTACTCCTCTTTTTTATTCTCTACTCGTACACCACCTAGTGGTAGACACAACATATAGTACAATTCTTAGTAGTTTAGATAGGATGCTTGTGTAGCTGAATAGAACAAAATACTAAAGAAATGTAAAAAAAGAATTGGTTCCCAGCATTTGTATTTATTTAATACAGAGGTCTTCAACAGGGGGTCCGCGGAGGTACTGCATGGGGGTCCCGAAAGTCTTGGTTGATTACTTTTTTTTCTATTCCCTCCTGCAATTTTTTGCACTAATTAAAATGTCTTTAAATCCACATTAACATGAATTCAACACACTGTGGTAAACAGATAAATGGAAGCAGAAGATGTCTTCCAGTCATCAATGCTCACATTCAGCAACACACAGGAGCTCTTTCAAGCTGGGCACCGTTTCATTCACAACACCTGTCCCATCAACCAGGAAGCAGAATCAGAAATACTTTAATAATCCCAGGGAGGGATTACTTTCGTAACATGACTCCATATGTAATAAAGTGACTATAGGACCAGTTTGATAAAGCACAATTTCATACAATATATATAAATAGGGGGTCCCCGCTCCATCTCGCAATCAGTTTGGGGGTCCTTGGCTTCAAAAACGTTGAAGACCCCTGATTTAATACATTGTGGTGTTTAATAAGTGACCACCGAGATGAATCTTTAAAGTGCAAAATACCACAAAGCATAAGATGTGTGGACTTAAACATTAAAAAAATCTTTTTAACAAGAAACATTCATAATAAAATAGCCTAATTGTCATGATGTTACAAAGTTCAGACCCAAATGCAGAAAACCGAACAGAGAGACCAGGGGAAAGGTTTAACGGCTTTTATTGAAGAGGTTAAACAGAGGGAGAAGTGTTGCTCTGAACACTGCTCCACTGGAACTGTAAAGTGAGGGGAAGACACAGCGGTTAGTTCAGGCTCAGTGGGGAATTTGACTCGTGAACTTGGAGAAGAGGTTTTGGTTGCCGACTCACCTTTCCAGAGAAGTTGCTGAATCCTTGACTCCTGTCTGTGTGCCGTGGTTGCAGTGTTTGTCTGATTCAGTGGAGGGTGGAACAGGGTTACCCAGAATTAGGTTGTTAGTTGGTGAACAGAGAAACTGACTGCCACTTAGATTTCCTGCGGTACTTGAACGGGTCGTAGTGGAGAATTATCCCTTTCTCAGTGAGAAGCTCAAATGATCTCTTGGGGAAAGTGGATCTAAACCTGGGAGACGTGGAATGTAGGGTGTATGCGCAAGGAGGGTGGAAGATGGAGATGGACGGCAGACTCCTCGATGGTCCTCTCCACTTCATAAGGGCCTATGAATTTGGGCGACAGTTTACGTGACATTGCCTTGAGGGGAATGTCATGGGTGGAAAGCAAGACCTTCTGGCCCGGGCGATAGGATGGGGCAACCCTCCTCCTGCGATTTAACCACCTCTGATTCTGCTGGGAGGTCCTTCCCAGGACCATCCTGGCCCGGTTCCAGAGGGTCCGGCAGTGGCGGATGTGATGCTGGATGGAGGGTACGGCGATTTCTGCCTCTTCATATGGGAAAAGGGGTGGTTGGTAGCCCATGGATTCCTAAAATGGAGAAAGACCTGTGGCGGCAGAGACACTGCAGTTATATGCATACTCGACACAAGGAAGAAGTTGACTCCAGTTAGTGGGATCAGAATCTGTGAGGCATCTGAGGCTGGCTTC